TACAAAATATCACATTTACGGCTCGGCTTATCGTCGATGAACCGCGAGCTTGGCAAGTAAAAATGCAACGGCGCCAACGGATTATTTCCCGAAGCGCCAACGGGTTCTCTGCGGATGAAAACCCGTATTTGTATATGCTACATGAATTATGCTTTTTATTGCTGAAGAAATAATTTTTAATCAACAGCAATTAAACTCTGGTATAAAATTTTGAGATTTAGGAATTTACTAAATTTATTGCAATATTGTTATTGTTTTTCTGTGATTTAAGAAAAGAATGTCAAATTTTTCATAGCCCACTTACAGAAAATACTTTTATGGTTAATTATAAGTTAAGAACAGTTATAACGAGTAGATGTTTCTCTTCATTGGATTGCCTTACAGAAAATTACTTACCCTGATGAAATTTAAAAAATATGTAGTATGAACATTAATTTCATTGAAACCTTTAAATGTTTTTCGATAAAATGGTTGTTTTATGCAAAATATTTTATTGCTTCAGAGATAATAATCATGTGTAGTGGTGTTTACTATTTAAGAATGCCAGTTATGTCTTTTTTTCTTTTAGAATTTTTTCCTTAATTGTCTAGTTTTTGTCCAGCCTGAAAAAGTAGCAAAGTAATATTGAATATATATTAAACTATTTTGGTTCAGAACTATACAAAAAAAGTGCCCCAAATTAAGAATGCTAAAGGTACTTTCAGAAGGTATTTTCAGAATTAAAAAAACAGAAAAAGATATTTCAGAGCTTCCTCTGTCCATAAATGTATCTCTGTCCTTAAATGTATGTGACTTATCTCCCACTGAGTATTTAGAGAGAAGATGGGTAGGAAAAGAGGGTTTGTGATAATCAAGTATTCTTTTCCCAAGGCTCTGCTTTTCTCTTTTTGATCAAGCCCATGATTAATTCATAAGATTTACTGTTTTTCCAGACATGGAACAACTTTTGTAAAAACAGCTTTGCATAAATTTATATATTTTGTGCAAAGGTATATTTTAATTAAAATTTGTGATTTTTTTCATTTAAATGTCTGTTATGTTCATATAAATGTTTGTAAAAGGATTTTAATTTGTTTATATTGTTTGTTTCAAGTTTTATTAGTTTTATATAATTTGTATGTTTTGTTTTTAATTATTTATGCGATATATATAAGAAATATAAAAATTCGGCTAATCTTTGGAATATGGTAGCAGGTAGTTTGGCGACATTTTGGTAAGGCGATAAAGGTTACTAGCTAGGACTTTAGCAGTGTACATGGATAAAGTCAAGAGTGTGCGCAATGCCATTTTTGTGCAATTCTGGGATGTTTTTTTAAGTGAAAATAGGTTGACGTGTATATGGATACCGTGTATGCAATTCTTAAAAATGCGGCAAGCAGGGGGCGATTCTGCACTTTCTCCCAATTTCGCACCTAATCTTCATCATGATTAAGCACTTTTGTTCCATAAAAGTTATAGCATAAGCGTAATTCGACTAGCAGATTGTTGGAAAAAAATGTTCAGAAAAAAAAAAAAAAAAATGCCTTTACTTTGTGAAAAAAAAATGGCATCCAAAAGAAAAAAAAAACTAGCAGGTTGCTGTCGCAGGGTCGCCAAGTTACATAATCCGAAGATTAACCAAAAATTCTTCTATGTGATTATTTCAAAAGCTATATTTCTTACAATTCTAGTTTCTTATTTGTTACCATTATTTAATTTTTAAAAGTAATTTTGCAAATGATTAATAAATCAAACAGAAATATACTAAATTGAATTATGAAATTGGAGAAAATTTTAGTATTAGTAAATTATGTGGAATTAGTTTCATTGCCTTTCAGAGAAGAGAAATTGGTTGATCTTTGGATTATGGTAACTTGCCGATTTTTTGGCAAAAATTTGGCGACCAACTCTGCTACAGCAACCCTCTGTTTTTTTTTTTTTTTTTTTTTCCACTCATTGTTTGTCTTCACGAATAAAGCATGTTTTTTTTTTTTTTCTTTTATTACTCAATTTTTCAACAATCCTAGCCGAATTACATATGCTAGAAATTTGTGAACAAAACTGCTAATCATGGCAAATATTAACTGCAAATTGGAAAAGTTAGAATCGCAACTCCTTCCGCGTTTTTCAAAATCGCCTACACAGTAACCTGTACACGACGACTTATTTTTACTTAAAAAAATCCCAGATTGCACAAAAATGGCATTGCGCATACTCTTGACTTTTATCCCATCTAACTGCTATTTTCTCATAAATTACAAAAATTTGCACGAAAATGCAGGCAATTTTGTGAATTTTAAAACTCGGTAAAAGCACATATATGAAATACCTGACACGAAAACTATATACCCTATCCAAGGATGACTTTCCACGTAAAATAAATCCCCAAAACTTTTTTACCTCTAAATTATCTTTATAAATGTCACCACCAGCAATTCAAACAAAACATTAAAAATGGTTTAAATACTTATGTCAAATATTTAAATTATTTACATGCACGTTACTTCCGCTGAAATGAACCAATTGCACAACATATAATTCACAAAAACTAATTTAATTAAAAATAATTAAACCATGTACACGCCGAAACTTTTTTACTTAAAAAAAATCCCAGAATGCGCAAAATGGCATGCGCACACTCTCACTATGTCCATGTACGCTGCTTTTCTCATAAATTAGAAAAATTCACGAAAATGCATTAAAATTTTGTGAATCTTAAATCGTAAAAAAGACATATATAAATTACCTATCGCGAAAAAGTAATATACATTCTGGATGAAACATTTGCCGAAAATAATAAAATATCCAAAACTTTTCCTCTAATTATTATTTATAAACCTCACCTGCAATTTCTAAACGCAAACTTAAAATGGTTTTCCAAATACTTAATTATTTCCATGCACATTTACTTCTACTCAAACATATTCCAAATACTACAAACATATAACTCTCAAATCACGATCATAATTAAAATATAATAATTAAAAAACACTACTTAAAAAATAATAATAACACTACATTAAATTAATAAAAATTAGCTTACAATCCTAATTTAACTTTTTTAACTTAAAATCAATCATTGTAATAACAATTTTTTTTCCAATAATACCAATTTATTTATTTATACTAAAAACTTTTGTTGTTACCTCCTTACCCCCAAAATTTAGAACAAGCAAGAAAATAATTATCCTCAAGTAATTAGAAAAATACTAACTTACCCCAACCATCTTCTTACAAATCTTGCGAGCATGGCGGATCACAAAATGTGTCCCATTTTCCAACGATTTCTTTCTTTCTTGCACCGCCAATTCAAAACTTAATCTGTAATATCCTTCCTTTCACACAATCTTCATTTCACATATACCCACATGTTGGAGATTAATTCCATACTTATATCTCGCAATTAGCATTCTTTTCAAATTACACATACAATTTTTCGGATTTTTACTTTATATAAGGGCCAGGGATCCAAATTATTAAACAACACTGGTTTTTCACCAAGAACAAAAAGAATGAAACTAATTGCTTACAGCAAGATATTTTTTATAATTTTACCTCCCCTTTTTTTCCTTTTTCTTTTTCTTCCGATTAAAGAACAGTGAGTTGTCCATTAATGTCACATGACAATATCTATCTCACGATCTTCTCAAATTCCCCTCACACAAAATAATGCGTAATCGGAACTGAGTTAACTTCTCCGCTTATTTCCAGAAAGTCCTAGTAATTAACCTTATCGCCTCCAAAAGGTCCGCCAAAAACTACCTGTTACATAATTCCAAAGATCAGCCGAGAAATTTATGTCAAGTTCTCTTAAAATAAACAGAGCTTTTCTAAAAAATCAGAGCTGTGCTAATATTGCCATCAATTGGAATTGTGGGAAAAGATTTGGAAAGTGTGTGTCGGATTTTGGGTAAGAAGTAAGTTGTTATTTTGTGGTTTACATGGTAAATGGCTGAATGTGATAAGATTAATTTGAAGTTTCTGTATGATGTGGAATGAAAGGGAAAAAAAGCATTAATTGACTGGTGTGTAAATGAAACTTTACTTAGTAGCCATTATTAAGTTCCTGTTTCTAGGAAGGAAATTTGTGTGGTTAAAGGTCGAACGATATCGGCACTATGGAGGATATTTTTGTGAATTTATGTGGTGACCCCAGTATACAGATTCTTGTTCAGATAATTTTAGGAAGTTTTTGGATGCTGTTTAGGAATTCTATTTGACAGGAGGTGGATATTTCCTTTGTGTATTGCTAAAACGAATTTCCCTTTTTATGTTATTTTATTTTTTGATTTAAAATGTAGTTTATTGAGATTATATATTTTTTGTTGGCTGCTCCTTTGACTTTTTAAGTGAATATAGATCAATGTGTACATGGACAAAGTCAAGGGAGTATGCAATGCCTAGTTTGTGTAATTCTCTGATTTTTTTTAAGTGAAAATAGGTCAATGTGTACACAGATACCGAGTTTGTGCAATTCTTTGATTTATTATTTTGGATTTGTATAGCCAAAGCCGGCTACACAAAGCCAAAATAACAACTCAAAGAATTGCAAAAACCTCAGTGTCCATGTGCCGCCAATTATCGCCAAGGTGCACCCGTAAATATATTTTTACCAATACTCTTTGCAAAGCAACTACATCATTCCTTTTCCTGGCTTCTGCTCTGCCAACATCGTGCTGCTATTTTTTTCTGTCTAAGATGCCTACGTCGTACTTTTAAAATTAGTGTACATAAAAATTATTGTACTTAAGTATGATTGGATAAATTCCTTGCCTACAAAAGTGATCTGATGTGAATTATAAAGGAATAAAATGGATATTTTGAAACGGCCACGTCTGGAAGTTAGTGGTTTTTGCATCTATCTTTCTAACTGTGCATCTAAAATACTACATATATATTAAAAAAAAAAAATTTTTTTTTCTGCATAATGGATTTTTTTTTATTTATTTCAGAAATAACTGGGTGTACAAGTTTTCATTAATTTAATAAATAAATCTGAATGTTTTTTTTGTGGCTAATGGATGACTATCCCCTCTGCAAAACTTGCCTTTCGATTTAGTTTTTTAGAGGTAAAAATCAAATTCTATTTGATTATTTCGTAATTTTATTGTTTTAAATATCAAGTATGTAAATTGAAACTTAAAGTTACGTCCAACACATAAAATATTCTTTTTTAGTTCTTATATAATTATGCCTTTAAAATAATATATTTCCTTTCTTTCTTTATTTTTTTAATATTTAAATTTTTTTATGATTTAAGGACAATGGCTTTACAATAGTTGAACATAATGGTAATTTTTGTTTGATAGGTTACTTAAGAGAAGTAAGATGCCTGAATTCCTGGCAGATATTTTTAATAGAAAGCTCTGATTTACAAGAATATTACCGGTTATGCAAGGAAGGAAAACAATATCCTACAAATGTTGATGGAAAATCACTTTTGGAGATTCTTCGGGAATATTGTTTTTTGAGACGTAAGATTATATTATTAGACACCATTTATTAATGGCTTTTACAAGCTTTAATTTTCAGACTGAAAAAACTTGAATATTATTTTACTCTTCATATATACGAGAGCACATATCTTTGGGAAAAATTATCTATGTATATAAGATTTATGTAACTTTAATCTTCTTGTTTGCTGTTTTTAGAAATTAGGTACAGCGTTTTGTAGTGTAACTTTACCCCTAGCTTTTTAGCATAAGGTTAAAAAAATTTTAAAAGTATTCACATAATTTTCTCAAGACATTCAAAAAGCAAGCAGGCCTAAATTTTAAAATAGATTCGGCCACACTGTGACTGTTTTCATCTTACTAATTTATTTGCTCATGTGATTAGGATACATGGGCTCTTGACTCATAAAGTAATAGTAATGATGATGTCTTATAAAGTGTAGTATATGGCATAGACAGCACTTCCAGCAGCATTAAATGGTTTGAGGTCTAGAGATTAAAAGCTCATTTCCACTACTGCATATGCGTTTCTTCAATAAACGAGCGAATTCACTTTGAGTGACATCTGTAATCCGGTCGATGGGGGCTGACAAATAAAGTTCAACTGTGTTCAACTTCTATCCGTATGTCTGCAGATGCGTTGGGGTCACGTGGTAAAAAAGGACCAATCAGGTGTTGTCACCAAAAACTAATGGCGACAGAAGTAGTGATGAATGTTGGCTCAGAGAAAGAATGTTTGCTAAAAAATATTTCTGAATTAACGTAACGAGAAATCTGGGTACTGAAAAAGACTGCAATCAGCTGAATTTAGTTAAAAAAAGATAAGAAAAATAAGATAACTGCAACTACAGTACTAGTTTGCAGAGAGCAGTGATTACTGTCAAGAAAATCAAGCACAAAAAATATAATTCCAAGTCCATAAAATAGCAAAATTTGTCCTGATAATTATTTCCTAATTCTGCACACATTTCTTTAATGAAAATGAACATCTGACTATATCAAACTGCTGTAGCAGTAGCAAATAAAATAAGATTTGCTACAGCAGTTTGATTAAAAGATTTGTTTTGTTTTTTCTTCTGAAACAGTAAAAACTAATAACATTAATTATAAATTAAATTTGATAGCCTTTTAAATATTCTGTTGCATTAAAAAGTATGTTAAATTTGTGTTTCTTTCTCTTTTTATAAATATACCTTTTTGGCTAGTAAGCACATCTTTCACTTGGAATAAATTTTTAGCAGTCCGTTTAACTTCAGTCACAATGCCACTTTAAAAAATTATGATTTTTGTATAAATGCCCTAGAAACTAAAGAAAAACTCTGGTGAATTTTGTAGACAATAGCACACTGGAATAGGACCAAAAATTTAGTTTTATGAATTCATTTACTTAATAATGTATATAAGCCAGAACTGCTAATCATATCAGTATGTTAATAGCGTAGTGGTAAAGTTGAGGGTATCGAAATTTGACTTTTCGGGTCATGAGTTCAAATCTCGTACTCTTTTTCCACCTTGTTTGCAACTTTCTTAGTTCAGTATTCCAATTTCATCTATATTTGTGTTTTATAATTTATTTCTGTTATTATGTGCATTAAATATAATGCTTTATTTATGCTCTTATTTATTTCAATTTCCCCTCAAGAATTCATTTCGAAAGTTATAATATAATAGGAATTTAAAGCATACTCATTTTCTTTTCATTTCACTTTTATGTGAACATATATACATGTGATGAGACTTTGGGATGTTTCCAGCTCTAAACTTTCAATACCAATTAACATGAGACAGTATTAATGCTCTGAATATTTTTAATAAAACATTATTTAAAAATCTTATAATACAGTGCAAAGTCCGAGATTCGGACTCGTGGGCACTTCCGCAATTCCGAATTAGGGATTTTTACGGATATTAAATCATCAGTATAAATCTAGTAAGATGTTAAGTAGAAATTAAAAATATAAAATCGGGATTTATGAAATACCAAAGCATTTATGATCTAAAGGGTATCAAAATTTACAAAAGCTTAATATTTATTTGTTTATTTTAAACATTTCTTTCAATACAAATTGTTTAGTTTGCTTCATTTTTTTGAGCTTAATACTTCTTTTTTAATTCTTGCACCACAGGCATAAATTTCCTTGTTCATTTAACATAGTTTGAATTCCTGTAAATTTGTGGTTTCGGAACAATTTCTGACTAATTTGTCAATCGAAATTTTTTCGTTTTCAGTATCCTGTCTGTCACTTTTTTCACTATCGATAGCGATATTTTCTTAGTTTAGAACTATATTACAGATTTCGCCATCCATTAATTGATTGATGATTGAGGGGCATTGTTATCACAATGAAAAATTTCTTTTATATCATTTTCATTTATTACCTCTTCTCCACATTTATTTCAAAATCCGTTAATTGCCAAATTTTAAACATGCTGTTTTTAAATTAAAACAACTAATACAATCAGTTACCAAAATTGGCAAACTTAATCTGCCAAATTTATTATGTGCAAGTAACTGAAGTTTTACAAGGCAAACCACCGAAGTTTACATACATACAGTTAGAAGTTACATAACCGAAGTTTTACAAAGTGAGTACTTTAATTAATATGAACCAGTTGTCATAAACATTTTATATCTGATGGGAAATACTGTTATTTTTATCGCAATAAAATGAAGCAATAGTTCAGTTACACTTAAAATTCTTTAAATTTAACCATAAGTTATTTTTTTTTTAAGGTGGATCTTCAAAGCAGTCTGGCATACAGTCTTACTCCAACAGTACATCAGATTCTTTCAGTTTAAAAAACTGTGGAACCGATAACAAAGTAAGAGCTTTTTTTAAAAAAAATATTAAAATTTAGATTTAAGGGGTATTCAATTCAAGGTAGTTTTTGAAGTGAAAATCAGGGTTTGGCGAGTAATTTGTATTTGTATGAGGATGTTTTAATTGCAGTAAGTAGTAAACAAAAGTAAACCCAGTAAGTAAGTAGTAGACAAAGTAAACCCAGTAAGTAAAAACCTTTCCCTCTAGATGTGTGTAATATTACATCTAAATTTTAGCTGAAAAATCAAAAACAAATATAACAATTATTTATTATGATGTATTACCATATAATTATTAATTTTTTTCAGTATATATTAATGACCATACATTTTAGCTCAAAGATAAAAAAGATGTGTAGCAATTATTAATTATAGTTTAATTATAATAATTATTTATCATGGTCAAATTATTGTAGTTTATCATTATATTATACTGGAATTCATTGCAATGATGTATAATATTAAAAAATATGAAACTCGAACATTAGATAATTATTAAACATTATATATGTTAATAGTTATTTATAAATTTCATATCATAAAATTATGTATATCATAATTTTATGATATAAAATTATAATAAAATTATGTATATCATAATTTTATGATAGGAAATTATGTATGCATTACATAATTAAGATTCAAACACTCAATTTCAAGTAATAGCAACAGCAGCTTAGGGGACCCAGTTGCCAAATCCTGGGTGTGGAGAATCATCATCCACCACCCTTTTAGTTCAGGTGCCACTGTAGAGACATTCGGTTATTTTTGAAACAGGAATAATTAAAAAAAAATGGATGCCGTTGCCGGAAATCAAACCAGGGACATCTGGATTAATGCCCAGCATGCTGACCACTACACTACGAAGGCCTGCTAAGAAGGCGGGAGAAATACCTTATAAACTATAATGAAAATTTGGGATTTGCCCAGAACAGAGGAAGAATCTGTCAAATTCTTTCAAGTGAAAGGCGTTTTGCCTAAAATTGCTAATAATCATGAAACGAAGTTGTGCTTTGGAGATGAAATTCACTGGCACTGCCTTTCAGTTTGTCGCAGTAAAAGAAGAATCTGGAAAGACACATGGTTTGAATCATCGAAATTAAATTTCTTGAAGTGTGTGAGGCTTATTTATGGTTGAAGCGAAGAATTAACTTCAGTAAAATGGTGTGAAAATCTGTCACGGTACAATTGTGGACTGGAATAATTACATGCGCAAGGTTTGTGTGGATTCTTTGCTTAAATGTAAACATTGGAAAATAGGACGACCTGGTATGATCGCCGAAGTGGATGAAAGTATGTTCACGAAGCGTAAAAACAGTGCAGGACGGATTCTACCACAGCAGTGGATCTTTGGTGGAACTTGCTGTGAAACAAACAAATGTTTCCTTGGAAGCTGGCAAATCGTTCCATGAGCATTATATTAGAAACAATTAAGGAAAATATTAAAGAAGTAAGTGTAATATATTTGGATTCGTGGAAATCATACTGCACTGAAAAACCGGAAGAGGAAACTTTCGAACATTTCAGAGTAAACTACAAATACAATTTTGTCGAACCAAAAACTGGAATGCACACACAAAAAATAGAAAGACTATGAGGTAGCACCAAATGGTGAAATAAGAAACACAGAGGAATAGGTCATCATCTGAATCTCATAATTCTTTTCTGAGATTTCTATAAGTTATCTTATAGAATTTATTTGGAGAAGTAAAATGAGAGACCCATTCAAAAAATGTTTAAACGATATTAAAATGTTTATGCCTCTAGAGTAAAAAATTCTTAGAACTAACATTTGTTAAATTTTTTTTTATGTGTATACTGTGTGTAATCTGCAATGATGTCTGCTTGGTGAGATTTGCACCGGCAATATGGAAAAAGTACCCAAATTTCTAGACTTTCTCAGAAAAGAATTACTGGCTCGAGAAACAGCAAACACATTTAGTTCAGATGGTAGAATGGCTATACAAAGTCAAAAGTTGCAGTTTAACCCGAACAAGCCATTACGGATAGATGTAGATCGTCATCAACAGTGAGGTGAATATCAACAACTGACTAGCTAGAAGCATTACACTGTATCGTCCATATCTAAAAGCATGTTTATTTTTTGATTCACTAACCCATGATGCAGGCAAATTGTTCAGAAATTGACATGGGCTTGAAAAGAGAAAGCCGGTCTTATAGATGCTTTGACAAGAGGCATATGGCGAAAGATTGCAGAATAAAAATTAGTTGTGAGTTATGTAGTAAACCTCATCATACATCTTTATGTAATTCGGAAAAGCAAAATTTGGAAATCCATAAACAATGCAGTAAAACCAAAAATCATTTACTTACAGCAAATATATCAAATGATGCTTTAATGAGTTTGAAGGATAGATCTAACAAAATTAATAGTCATTTTGAGTCTTTAATTACGGTACAGGTTGAATGTGATAATAAAGTGTTAAATGCTGTCGTTGATACTGCCACTCAGATCAGTATTATAAAGAGTATTTGTTATACAAGAGTATTGCAAACGACCACGTGGAAGTGTAATATTAAAATCTGCATTTGGACAGAAGGTTAATGCACCTATAATAAACGTAAATTTAGTGATGAGTGCACAACTAAAAATTAATTTGGCGAAAATTAGAAAACGCTAAGGCAACCTTCAAAAAATAAAAAACTACAATGTATTGGGGATAACATTTAATTATCTTTGTAAAGCCTACAATTTGGCTATTGCTGTAAATATGATTAAATATTTTCTTTATTCTACTTATTGCCTTCACTGTCATGGCAGACTTTATATTTTCACAGCATTCATCAAGGACTTGAGTCTGACTTCCATACACATTAAAAAAATTCATCTTTATTTAAAACTTAAAATACATATGTCTTGGCAAGTGGAATTCTGTTGTTATGCTCTTGAAACTTTTCTTTAGTGTTGCCATATTCATAAGCAACAACTTGGGAGGCATGATAAATTCTATCATTACCCTCATGACTAGTCACCACAGAGTTTCTCCCAAGTTTTTTTTATTTTTTAAATTTTTTTTTTATGGTAACTCAAAGGAACAATATCAGGCATAAAGAAGGCTGAAGTGAGGGGATAATGCAAGACATATATAAAAAGATCCCTAAAATGTATAGTAATCGTCCATATGGAACTTTTAACATACTGTGTATTCATTGCTCTTACCTTTTGTTTGGTGCAGATAAGCTTGTAAGATTTTGTGCCAGAAACTACAATCAAGCGACCAACCATTTGTTTGATACATAAGTAAACGTATATGCAGAATTTTAAGGTAGTGCTTATGTGATAGTTATTTTGACAGTGAGTAGATAACACTAATGGGTTTAGTAATTGATGATGGAGACTACTGATAAATTGAGTGTCATATGGGAAAATTCTATATGTTCAATATTTCTGTTAATAATTGCATTTTGTGGCAGAGACTACTGTTAAGTTGAGTATCATATGGGGAAATCCTTTATGTCCAATATTTTTATCCCAGTTTAATTATTTGGATGAGTCTCAAACATAAGAAAGAGATTTCTTTTTACTGATATGATCTTCTGACAGTTTTATTAAAGGAGAAAATCATCTGCAAAAGTTAAATGTGCCTAAAAATTGACAAATCTGAGTAAGTGTGGTTGGTTAAGGGAAATCTAAAATGCAAAAGAAGTTCTTTTCTGAATCAAAGATAGGTTCAGCTGTTTTTCAATAAACTGAAAACCCAAGAAATTAATAGATATTCAACCAAAGGTACACTTTGAAACATTTATGCAAAGTCTATATTCCTGAAGTTTTGAAAATAAGGCTGGGTCTGATGAAATGCCTGCCTTATCCCTCAGAATCTTCAGCAATGACGAGTAAGTCAACGGTGAAAGCATAAACACTCCCTAAAGGTTGCATGACTTCATCTATAAAGTATTAAAAAATTGCAGAATGGATATTTATTTTATGGTTTGGGTATTCAGCACGTAATAATCATGTAAAGGTCTCCATTCCGAAGCTCCCATTTTTGGAACCATATTAAGGGGGCTACTTAATTGCTTCTTGAAGATCTCAAGTGCTCCATTTGCATTATAGTTTTGAAATCTTCTTAAATGTTTGAAGTTATTTATCTGGAGCTAACGCATGAGATTTCGCTACCATAGGATGACCTTCAGTTATAATGTAATGAACTGTATTTTTAATAATTTGGTTACGATCTGGAAATTTAGTAATTGAAGGAAATTCTGTTAAAATTTTGTGATCTGCAGTTTTCATACAGCTTACAGTTTTAAATTATGTTTTTAAATTTTTGAATCATTTGTTGTAAAGATTAGGTACAATGTGGGGGGGGAAAAGCAGATCTATATTTCCCATTCTATTGGGCCGATTGACGAAATTCAACTTGTGTTTTTCATATCTTGAAAGCCCAACTTAGGATATATACTAGATTTATATATAGTATTGTTCTAACATAGGTATTCTGACACAAAATCGGAATTTTTCTGAAATAACATACCAATTGTTTTCCATATTTCATTTCTACAGCTCAAATTATGCCAAAGTGTCAAATTTTGTAAAAAATCACACGAGTAGTTTTTAAAAAATTGGCTCTAAAAATTTTAGCTCCTCCATATTAATTGAATTTGGTATATTTTGGATTAATATTTCTTTTTTTTTTAATTAAACTTATTTGATTCTTCCTTTCACATTTCACAATTTAGGTTCATTCCAAATAAAATTCCCATTTTTTTATGATTTTTTTTTAAATTGTATTTTTAATATTTTTTTTTATAATTTCAAAACATTTTTTAATTATCACTATAAAATTTTTAACTACTTACCTCCGAAGGTTTTTGAAAGATAAGGTTTTTATTTTGTAAAGCATAGCCCTTACGTAAGCTTTTTTATCAGCAGTAAACAAGTGCTCAAAGCGTTGAATTTCTGCCACTGTATCCACCGGAAAGCGTAAGAGCTTTTTTCTTTACCCCGTACACCTGTGGAGAATCATCCAGATGGACTGAT